CTATCCCTTGTTAACAGTCTAGGACTGCATTGTTTGTTTGTTTGTTTGTTTGTTTGTTTGTTTGTTTTGGCAGCTGAAGCACACTGCTGGCTCATTTTTAAATGATTGTACACTAGAATTCCAGGATGCCTCTCGCTATTACTATTGAGCCATGTACCACTATTTTGTACCTGTGCGTTTGATTTTTCTAGACTAAATATAGAGCCTTTTTCTCACCATTGAATTACATTTTGTTAGATACAGCCCAGTGTTCAAGTCTGCTGAGATCCTTCTGTATCTTGAGTCTATCTTCTGGACTATTGGTTATTCCTGCCAGCTTGGTGTTGTCTGCAGATTTAATAAGTTGCCCTTCTATCCCCTCGTCAAAGTTGCAGCTTTTATTGGCAACTCTGCCCAGCATTTCCCAACCTTAGGCAGTTTAAGATATGTGGATTTCACTTCCCAGAATAGCATTGCTGGCTGGAGTATTCTGGGAATTGAAGCCCACTCATCTTAAAATGGCTATGGATAACAGAATAACAGAGTTGGAAGTGACCTTGGAGGTCTTCTAGTCCAACCCCCTGCTCTAGAAGGAAACCTATACCATTTCAGACACATGGTTGTCCATTCTCTTCTTAAAACCTTCCAGCGTTGGAACATTCACTACTTCTGGGGGCAAGTTGTTCCACTGATTGTTCTAACAGTCAGGAAATTTCTCCTTAGTTCTAGGTTGTGTCTCTCCTTGCTTAGTTTCCATCCATTACTTCTTGTCCTGTGTTCAGGTGCTTTGGAGAATAGCTTGACTCCCTCTTTTTTGTGGCAATCTTTGAGATATTGAAACACTGCTATCATGTCACCCCTAGTCCTTCTATTCATTAAATTAAACATACCCAGTTCCAGCAACTGTTCTTTATATATTTTAGCTTCCAGTCCCCTAATCATTTTTATTGTTCTTCTTTGCACTCTGTCTAGAGTCTCAACATCTTTTTTACATCATGGCGACCAAAATTGGATGTAGTATTCCAAGTGTAGTATTACCAAAGCATTATAAAGTGGTATTAACACTTCACGTGATCTTGATTCTATCCTTCTGTTAATGCAGCCTAGAACTATGTTGGTTTTTTTGGCAGCTGCAGCACACTATCATATTTAAGTGATTATACATTAGGACTCCTAGATCCTCCTCACAGTTACTATTATTGAGCCAGGTACCACCTATACTATATATCTGCGCATTTGGTTTTTCTTGCCTAAATGTAGAGGAAATGTAGAGGAGGAAAAGAGGGCAGCACAAGTACCTGCAATTTTGTTCAAGCCCCCTTGAACATGCTGATGGCTGCAGCACTGCAGGCTTTCAAGCAGGTTTTCCAGCTGCAGACAAAGCAATTGGGCTGAAACCTTCCTGAAAGATCCCGGTACCCACCTCCAATTAGTTTTCATAGGGCACATATAATGCATGTAACATTTGACACTGATACTGATGAACCTGCCAATCCATTTTAACCATAGAAACTATAGACAGTGAAGCATTTACTTTACCATAACATTTGATTCAAAGCATTATGGAAGAGGTTAGCGAAAGCTAGTCCAATATCCTTTTTCCATCAATGCCTAATCATTATTTGCTGGAAAAAATTGTGGAGACTTCAACATTAATGGTACTGTGCAAAAAAAAAAAGAGGGGGGAAACACTCTCATGTTATACTGCTGAATGTAAAGTTTATCAGTCTAGAGCAAATGTGGAGCATCCCTAAAGACCTTTTGCAAAGCTCATCATGGGGAATGCTGGAAGTTGCCCTTTAGCAACATCAGGAGGGCAACAGATTTCTCAACCCAACAGGTGTATATAATTACTTCATCATCCAACAAAAGCTGTAGCAGCTTCTATTTGGATCCCAGCTCTGGAATGCTTTTATACGTTAATTTCTTCCAAATATTTTCTAAGCTTTTACTCTAAACCTATATCCACAATGGTTGAGTAATAAATGCAAATGCATTTCTGGATGGTACCATTTATAAATATAGCCACTGTGACTGTGCTTATCAACTACAGTGCAATTGTTTGTGCATAAGCTACACTTCAGTTACTGAAATTATGCAGACAAATTACATGCTACTCAAAATGTTTAAATTACAGTTGGCCCAGAAAGTACTCTAGTTGCTAAGGAGGATTGTTGTCACCTATGTTCCTGGCAGAGGCACTATGCTACCAAAGAGCTACATGATCTACATACTGTATCATGTAACTTTGAAATTCCTTCACACAGAGCATTTATGAGCGACAAGGTGGCAATTCTCACCAGAGTAATCCTTTTCCTCTTGCACTTACTTTCATTGTAATAAGCATGCCTTTGCATAATGCACAGAAGGCAGATAGATGTTTCTTCTCCCCCACAGACACACAATGGTAAAATATGGGGTTATCCTGAGAAGCCAACTTGCAAGAAATTTAGGATAAATAAAGTCAATTTCTTTTGACAGTTCTTAACTAATCTATAGAGTTTTTTCCACAAGATATAATAAAAAGTCCTATTTTAAGAAGAGACAAATTTATAAGCAGGGTTCTCTTAGTACATTTAACCATAGTGTGTTTTATTTGTCTTATTTTTCAGCAACAAACACTATTTATTTACAAATCTTGTTTTAAACATAGCTTGTCATTAAGTTTAAAATTATAATTCTGTAGTATTTATGCTCTGGCCATTTCTTTTGTGTACTAGTAGAAAACAGGAATTCTTTTTAAAATTCAATTATATCGCTCATGTGTTACAACTCTATTAAAGAGTTGGTTTACTACCAAGTTGAACCTTGCTCAATCAGGTGTATTTTTTGAAACACTGGACATCAACTCCCAAACTTCCCAAGTTTTATGGGAGCCAAAGCCCAACTTACTCAGATAGCACCATTATTGCAAAACAGATACTGGGATAGATAGATGTTGGTCTGGTCCAGCAGGGTCTTGTTATGTTCACTCTGGCTGACCCTTTTCATTTGTTGAACCTTCCTCTTCCAAGAGGAAGATGCAGGAATCCTGTCTTCTTTTGCATATGTTCATCCTACCCTGCCCACTCTTGTTAACAACATATTCTACATAGCATAACTTTGTCATTAAGTTCCTGATCTAAGAAATGGGCAGGGAGGTAATTTAACCATAGCTATAGTTTTTTTAAAACTTACCACATTATCTATTTGCCAGCCATTTCTATTGTATTGCATTTCTGTTGAGATATCTGTAGCCTCTGTACTCACTCGCACAATTCACACTACTGTTTAGATTCATTTATTCACACTCTGTCCTTTAAGCTTAATTGAGCTCAAGAAGCTTTTTTTATTTATATAGTTCTTTTTGCCCTACTTTAAGATAAAACAAATATAATTAAGAGAAAGTGCTGTTGTTTAACCAAAATGTAAACTCTTCCCTTTCTCTCATTTTAAGACTCATGTAATACAAATTTTATTAAGACAAATAAAGTGACTGGGAGATGGGGGTTAGGGGAGGTTTTTCTCTTTTTCAGTTTCATTTTTTCCCCACCTGATTGCTATTTATTATTAAAATTTTCAGACCCATCATCACTTCCATTTCCTACAATATTTCATGGGATAACTAAAAAAGAGGAATTACTTTTATAGGGCAATGTTTAACCCAATCATTCCCAGTCTAGTGCCCTCTATAACTGTTGGTCTACAGCTTTTATAAACTCCAGCCAGAAAGAATAGAGCTGTCATCTAGTGAACATGAAAGAGATCAGGTTAGAAAAAGCTGCTCTAAAGCATATGAAGTAAAATAAACTGTTCGACAATAGCTAGCAGAAGGTTAACCCGAATTAAAAGCTAGGGTTTTTAGCAGTTATCTGGCTTTTGATGTGAAAGGTCTGTGTTCTTCTTGAATGAATTTGACAGTGGTTAAATTGAAGCAGAAGAGTTTTTGTTCCAAAAGCAATGGAAGAGCAAAATGGATTGTGCATATTTGTAAGGAAAGTCTTATTGGGTTGTCCAGGAACAACTCACAATATTTTGGCACCATAGATAAAAGAAGCATAGTGCTGAAGGACTATGGCATTGATGGTATTAATGGTATTCTAAGGAGAGCCAGTTTGTGATTAAGGCAACAGGCTAGAAACCAGGAGATTTCTGCCTTAGAGATAAAGCCAGTTAGGTGACCTAGGGCTAGTTGCTCTCTCTCTCATCCCAGGAAGAAAGTAATAGAAAACCACTTCCCAAAAAGATTTTGGGTTTTCAAAAAAAAACAAAAACCTGGACACACTAGTCCTAGTAGTTGCTATGAGTCAATGTTGTCTCAAAGATATGCATATATGCACCCACATAAGATCTGTTACACAATCTAAACTCCTTTACCCTGCTTTTTTTAAGTTGGGCTGGTTTGAGGTATAGTTAACTGGGTTGATCTTGGTTTTAATGTTATATTAAATTGTCCTCTTTCTTTTTAGGGGACCGAACATGGAATCAGAAGAATGTGCTGAGAAGAGGATTGCACTAAATTTCAGAAGAAAAGAAAGTAGATTCTAAAACACATTATACAACCACTATAGTTTTGCTATTGCTTAAAAAACAAGAGCAATTTTCAAAGTAAATTCCCAGAAACATGAAGGCAAATTATCTGTTGTATAATCTAAGTAAAGAAGTCCTATGTTAGGAAAGTAGGCTGATGAAAAACCTGTAGCAGCAGTAGTAGTAGAAGTAGTAGTAGAAGCAGCAGTAACAGCAATAGTAGCAGCAGCAGCAGAGCAACAACAGGCTTTCTCCTAGAGATGTATTTATTGTTCCTTCTTAGCATGATGACAATGTTGCCTGTAATATCCTGAATCAAAAATGACTGCCTGATAGCACTCCCTTATTTATCCCCACACTTGCTATTTGGGGTCTGCTTGTCCTGGGTATGTTCCTTTGAATGATCCAGCAGATGTAACTCAAGAACACAGTGCTATGGTTTCAGGAAGGCATCTTCGTGCCCTTTTGAGTCACATAAGGATGGTAGGTAACAGAGTAAAGGGAAATAAAAAAAGCAGAAAGAAAACCCTTTTTCATGACTGATTGCAACTCCAACTTACAAAAGAACAATATGGCAGAACAGATGTTTGTTGAACTGCCTCTTTGCAATTTAATTCATTTTTCTTACTATATAGTCTGATCCTTTGGCAGCTCATTGTAATTAGTCCCATTCCAAACCCTCCCCTCTAAATTAATGTGAAGCATATCATTGAACCCATTACTAGTTTTTAAGCACAACAACAGATCAGACTTCTGGCTCATGGCCTTATTATGCAGAACTTTCAAGTTCAATATGCTGAGGTGAGGTAAGGAAAGGCATCTAGCAGGCAAGAATTGCTTGGGTGGATGAGATGATCACACTTGGGTCACAAGACGTTTGTTGGGCACTTCTGAATTGCCTGTAAGCACCATACCATCTAGAAATTCTGAACTGGGTACAATAAGTTCTTTATCCCCATGTTTCTCCCTATGTAGAGCTTTCTCATGGCTATGAACTTTCCTTTGGATGGCAGCAAGTTCTGGGGATGGTGGTGGGGTATATGGGCATGTTGTAATGTGGGTGTATTGACCTTGATCCTCACAATCAGTTTCTCGGTGATAAAAGTAGCTGAAGTTGGAGACAATGACAGGTACTGGAAGCGAGATGGTGAGTACTCCAGCAATGGCACAAAGAGACCCCACAATTTTGCCTCCAATAGTTTCAGGGTACATGTCACCATATCCCACAGTCGTCATGGTAACCACAGCCCACCAGAAGGCAGAAGGGATGCTGGAGAAATTTGACTGTCCGTAATCAGCTTCTGCAAAATAGACAGCACTGGAGAACAAGATGACCCCAATGAAGAGGAAGAAGATGAGCAAGCCCAGCTCCCTCATGCTGGCTTTAAGCGTCTGGCCTAGGATTTGCAATCCTTTGGAGTGTCTGGAGAGTTTGAAGATTCTAAAGACTCTCACCAACCGGATGACTCTGAGGATAGCCAAGGACATGGCAGGTTGGCTTACCCCACGCTGGCGTGCAAACTCTGTACCAAGGGCAACAAAGTAAGGTATGATGGCTATAAAATCAATCATGTTCATGATATTCTTGAAGAAAGCTGGCTTACTTGGGCAGGCTATGAATCGCACCAGGAGTTCAAAGGAGAACCAACAGATGCAAATGGTTTCCACAATGAAGAAGGGATCTTCAGAATGAGTCTTTGGTGGCATTGGGTGCGTCACACTGCTATTCAAATGATGATGGACAAGCTGGGGAAAGGAAGAAAGAAAAACAGAATGACTTTGTTAATGTGACTTAATTAACCTGAGGGAGGTGAAAAATGAGTGTTATAGTACAAAACATTGATTTCAATTAAAAGAGATGGTCTAAACTGGTGAGTGAACTAAAGCAAGTTTTTTCAAACACAACTTTAAGATGTGTGGACTATCGTGAACCAACACCACACCGGAAGTGGTGCCATAGAAAATCCCGCAAATGTGAAGATGCCAAAGGAGTACTGCTAGTGAAGTTCATGGAGTGTGGTTCAACCATCAATTCAGAAGTCTAGTGTGAAATGTTATGAAAACTCATACGAGCCATCAATAACAAGCATCAGGTATGCTGACTTCCGGTGTGGTGTTGGTTCATGATAATGCTCGCCTGCACACCGCTAGATGCACCCAAGAACTTCTGAACCAGTTCCGTTGGCATGTTTTAATCACCCCTCCCATAGCCCAGACTTGGCGCCAAGCAACTAAGGAATTTCAAACCTTGTAAGATGTTATGACAAGTGCCTCAATTTGAATGATGATTATGTTGAAAAGTAATGTTTTAGTAGTTTTCTAATCTGTATAATAAACGTTCTGTAACTGTGAGTGTCTGTCATTGATAACCAAATGGAGGTTTATTTCCGAATTGCCCTCATATATAAAGATGCTAAAAATTTAAATATTCCGCCATTCTTACTTTGGCAAGTGCAAAACATTTGCATTAAGCAGCTGCCTTTTCCCCTGGTAATAGCTGTATCCAGGCTGGTATCCACCCATCACTCAAATTAATCAGTTCTCTGAGAGAGGGGGTAAGATGGCTACAAATCTATCCATAACATAATTACTTGAAGTCTTAGTGTAACTGAAGAAGTATACACAAGTGTGTATTTATCCTATCCTATCCTATCCAATCCAATCCAATTTTTTATATTTGATGGCCACCCATCTCATGGAAAAGTGACAATATTATACCTTCAAACTTAGATTGGCGCATTAATATGAATCAAACAGTAAGAATGCAAGGAAAATTAGTAAGTTACATATTATTGCGAGATAGGAGGAAAAAATAATATGAAAACTGATATGCTCCAAACTTAATTCAAGACAACAGATGGGGGGAGGGGAGACATTTGGAAATGAATGGCAGAGAATATGGGATACTATGTTGGTCCAGTTATTTGCAGAAGGAATCAAATTAAAGTGTGCCTAAAGGCTGGAGAAAAGCAGAATGTCAAGGTCAAATGTTTCTCCCATCTCTGTCCTCTGGTCAGCTCTGATTTCTTGCCTCTCTAATTTTGACTTTTGTAGTGGGCCCTGCTTGCTCTGCAAATGAGGGAAGTACCTGTTAGTTGTGTGGAATTTCTAAGATCAACGTGGATTTGGAAAAACTCCAGGACTGGGTCTGTCTGTCTGATATCTGTTTCTAGAACATGTTGAGAATATTTGTTCTGCACCTCTATATGTTCATATTCCTGGGCTTAGGATATAAACAAAAGTATTTTTACTTTGCATTTTCTACAGTCTTTTTTGTTTCATTAGTATTCCATCTATCCTTCAGGAAGTTTATAGCAAATCCACTGAACTGTTACACAAGCTCTAGATTTATTTAACTCTAGCAAAGGAACTACATTAATTGCCTTCAATCCACTCTCTATAGCTCAAATCACATTATATCCTATTTTCTATTTAGCTGTCTATTAATCAAATTAGCATCATCTGTCTACCAGAGGAGGGTATCAGAAAACTTAGGAAAATGCCAGGCCTTGCAGAAATGCACAAAATATTTTGGGTGATGGTGGTGGTGGTCAGAATGCCCAAGAGGCAGAAAGCTCCAATTGGAATTGCCTATGTTAAAATGGGGGAAATGTAAAATCCAAAAGGCAGGGATGGAAAGACATATGCTAGAAAAGAGTGCAGTTGCCTGGCACCACAATATATTCTTACTTTGCATGTCAAACACACATTTTACATAGTACTTCCAAATTCTAACATCTATTAGTTTCTGTGCTGTACGTTTTTACTTTTTGTGGATGATTATTTTTGCCTCCTCTGATCTTTAAAAGATATTCTAATACATACTACATAGGTTATATAGTATATATTGGGATAGATTTATTAACTGTAGGTCTATATGAAACTACTGTACAACTATTTTATCCCTCTTTTTAAAATCTCCTTCAGTTGTAAGGGACTATAGATGCATGCTTAATTTCCATCTCCTAATGTACATTCACAAAAACCCTGCAAGGTAAACTTGAAATAAATAAGTGATACAGAATTTTATTTATTTGTATCCCACCTTTATTATTTTTAGAAATAATTCAAGGTAGTGAACACTTCCACAATTCAAGACTATAAGAAGAGAGAGAGAAAAAAGCTACCTTTTAAAAAAAAAAGGTTTATAGTGAACAAACAAAATGTGGCACTCAGCACACTTAAAATGTGACCATTGAAAACAGGCAATTTTTTTGCTGGAAAACTCAGCCACATGGGACTCTGAGCAGGATTAGGATGATGATGTGGAGGTTCATCCTCACCAGTACACAAATGTGCTTCCTTCCTCTCTTTGATGAAAAAGATATTGAAATAACTCATGCTGACCCACAGCCTAGCATTACCACATTATCAGCAAAAAGGAAGACACTGTAATACAACGAGGAGTGGCATCAAATTAGCAATGGGCGGTTTTTCAGTTGTCCTTCTCCCTTCCTATATTTCCTACCATCAGGAAAACCAGCCACCCATTTTTTTGCTGAACATGTGCTGGAGAAAGGCGGCTTGGAAGTGGGACCACCTGCAGCAACAGTCAGTGGCTTCAAAAAATGGAGGGAGCAACAGGGTGATCTAAGTACTATCCCTGTTTAATATAAATCACATGGATTGCACATACATAAAACTGTGCTGAACTTCAATGGCTTAGTTCTGCCTGCCATTTTGAAGCCCCTGACCATCACTGTGGATGTTCCTGGCTGGGCGTTCAAGATTACTATTACTACCACTCTACTACTACTTTACTACTATTATTATAATGTTGTTGTTGTTATTAATCTTCGTATAGTCAGCCAATTGTTGATCATCACGTAGTCAACCAGATGTTCAGACTGGATTTGGCATTTTGTCTACTCTTACCAAGGACCTGGGATAGGCAGATCTAGATGTTTGATGGTGTTACAGATATCATCACAGGATGGAAGCTATCCCCAGTAAAGCCGCCTTTTGCAATTGACTGGTGGGGAATTTGTCAATGCCAATGATGTCCAAGTGGTGGTCCAGTTGCTTTGGGATTGCACCCAAGGCACCTATTACTATTGTAGTACTACCCTTGCTTGCCTTTGCCCCAGTCGTTCTATTACTGTGTGTAGATTTTTGTATTTTGTTATCTTCTCCAATTCTTTCTCTTCTATTCTGCTGTCTCCATGCACTGCTACGTCCACTATCCAGACTTTTTTGTCTTTCTTATTGACAGTTGTTAAGTCCAGGGTATTATGTGGCAGGTGCCTGTCTGTTTGAATTCTAAATTCCCAGAGTAATTTAACTTTTTCATTTTCTATTACTTTCTCTATTTTATGGTACCACGAGCTCTTGCTTGCAGTCAAATGATATTTCTTGCAGATCTTCCGATGCACCATTGTTGCTATTTTGTCATACTGCTGCTTGTAGTCAGTCTGTGCGATCTTCTTGCAGCAGCTTACTAGGTGATCCACTGTTTCTTCAGCTTCTTTGCATAGGTGGCACTTAGTGTCCGTTGCTGTCTTCTCAATTCTGGCTTTGTATGCATTTGTTATTAAGGCTTGGTCTTGTGCAGCCAGAATTAGTCCCTCAGTCTCTTTCTTTCCTGGTCTTAGACATTGCCAGATCTTGTTATTATCTGCTTTCCGAGTTATTTTTTTTAATGTACTGGCCATGTAGTGCTTTGTCTTCCCATGCCTCCATTCTGTTCTTCATTTGGTCTTTCTTGTAGGCCAGTTTGGTCTCTCCAGTAGTCAGTAAGCCTTCCTGATATACTAAATTTAGTGCATCTTCATCATTGTCCTTTAGATATTCTTCCAAAGCCATTTTTTCTTCTTCAACCATCTGATGTACTTGCAGCATTCCATGCCCACCTATTTGCCTTGGTAGATAGAGTCTGTCAATATCACTGTGTTCATTGTCATTATTTTTCTGGTCTTCCTATCCATTGCTTTTAGTTCTGTTTGAATCCAGTCCACTATTCCAGCTGTGTATCTAATTACTGGAATTGCCCATGTGTTGATTGCCTTCATGGTATTTTCTCCATTGAGTTTGGACTTTAAGATCTTCTTCACTCTCTTGATGTATTCACCTCTATTTCTTGACTTCAGTGTGCTTGATGTTGTCATCTTGAAAGATACCCAAGTATTTGTAGTAATCTTCCTCATCAAAACTTTTAATGTTATTTTTGTGGAACATCTTGATTCCTTCAGTTTTCACTATTTTCCTTGTTTGATAGTAAGTGTGGCACATTTGTGCAAGCCAAACTCCATTGCAATATCTTGGCTATACGTATATACGGACAGTGTTGAGCAGCGATTCTATTTCAGATGATGTTTTTCCATACAGCTTCAGATCATCCATGTAAAGGAGGTGGGATAGTCTGGCAGATGTTTTTGATGATTGATAGCCATGGCCTGAGTTATTCAGTATTGTTGACAGAGGAATCAGTGCAATGACAAATAGTAATGGTGATAGTGAATCTCCTTGAAATATTCCTCTCTTGATATTAACCTCTTCCAGTCTCTCACCATTGACCTGCAACTGTGTCTTCCATTGTGACATCGATCTTTGCACAAACTTTCTGATGTTTCTATTGACTCTTGTTATTTCTAGGCACTTGATTATCCAGTCATGTGGCAGAGAATCAAATGCCTTTTTGTAGTCAATCCATGCCACATTTGGGTTGGTCTTCCTTCTCTTGCAGTTTTCCAAGATCATTTTGTCTATTAGGAGTTGGTTTTTTATTTTAACGTATTGGCCATGTAGTG